CTCGCTATGACACAACTCCTAACAAAGGCCAAGTGTAACCAATGAAAGGGACTGCAGTATAGTGGCTCAAGTAATAAATATCGAATCCACGGGTCTCTAGAGTTACAATTACTCAGCTTCAGTTCATTATCTAGCAAACCAGATTAAGATAGAACAACTAAAACTACTCTAGCAAACTACAGTTAAAGTTAATCTAATTACAGGTTCGGAACTCACTTAGGTATGATTCCCCCTAGCCACTAGCTAGATTAATGATTGATGATCTCTAACCTGTTTCAATTTCATTCACAATGCGGAGAATCCTTAACTAGACCCTGAGTCTCGACTACAAGAACAAGGCCCTCTTGAGTCAATTGCCTAGAGGGACGTATCCTTCTCTAGAACAAACGATCAAGGCGTTCTGAACTAGATTCCCTCTATCGAATGAGGTTATCAATCGATAAAAAGCATTGAATCGACCCTCGACTAAAGCAATCGATCCAATACTATCAATCTAGGACGCTCTATTGACCTAATCAGGTATTCGCTCTCATAGGATCAAAGCATAATCAATAATCTCGACTAAAGCATAATTGAATCATGAAAACATGCATAGATTGAATATGAACTCAAGATTATCAAGTAAAAGTACTCATACAATCATCCAATCAAACAAACATAGATAGGTTCCTCGAAACCAAAGTGAAGGGATGTTACTCCATAGAGAAGAGAGAGACTGCATTAAGAATCTTCAGATGATCAGTCTTCAAGTCCGGGCTTGTACCTCGAGCTTCCAAGGCAAAGAAATCCTCCAATTCCACTCCAAGAGTGCCCTCAAATCGACCTATCTCTCTCTCTTTGGTTCGTCCCATGGGTGTTTGGGATCCAAAACCCAGCTCTCCCCCTCCAAAAATACACAAAACAGGCTTTTAACAGCCTGCGTTCGCGAAACCCGGTCCAAATACCCAATCGGGTATTTAGGGAACTGGTCGGGTATCAACAAAATGCTCCGGGTCACTTTTCTGGGCAAAAAGGAAAATACCCGGTCGGGTATTTTTGGTTCACGACAGGGGGGCCTTCTGAAGCTGCCAAAAATACCCTATCAGATGGTTAAAATACTTGGTAGGGTATTTTGGTCGGGTATTTTGTAGTTCCGGGTCCCCTATCTTTGTTTCTTCGTTTCTCCCTCGTTCGGACTCCGAATAGGGTGTCGTTTGATCCCAGACGCTTGTAGTCTCGTCCTCTTTCTTATCATGATAGCTTACATGATTCTATGGTTACATAGTGAGGTAGAAATCTATTCTTCTTCAGGTTATGCCCGAGTTTCATCCCCCGAGTTGCCAATTGATATCCGATTGACTTGAAACTTGCGCCTATGCTTCACTTTATGTGCTAGGACCTGAAATGTGACAAATGAAAACAACCTAGCGTAAAATAGGCCAAAGAAGCGATAATGCAAGCTTAAACGATCAAGAAGGAGAGCGAAAAACATGCGCAAATATCGAGTCATCAAGACCTGAATTTATCAAAAGCGAAGATTACTGCCAACAACACTTTCTCTGTGGTTGTGTAGTTCTCTAGAGCATCATTCAGAGTCTTTGAGGCGTAGCAAATAGGTTGAAAATATCTACCCCGCCTTTGACCTAAAACCGCTCCCACTGCATAGTCACTAGCATCACACATGAGCTCGAAGGGAAGGTTCCAATCCGGTGAGACCATTATGGGGGCATTTGTAAGCTTCTCTTTCAGAATGTTGAAAGCTTTAAAACATTCCTTTTTGAAAAGGAATGGGACATCCTTCTCCAAAAGTTTGGTCAAGGGCAATGCAATCTTCGAGAAGTTCTCGACAAAACGTCGTATGCCCAAGGAAACTCCTGATGCCCTTCACTGTGGTTGGAGGAGGGAGCTTGCTTATTGTCTCAACTTTGGTTCGATCCATCTCAATCCCTCGCTTGGAGATTTTGTGACCCAACACAATGCCCTCCCGGACCATAAAATGTGACTTCTCCCAACTCAAAGCTATATTGGTTTCTTCACACTGCTCAAGGACCTTCTCCAAGTTGGCCAGAGAATGAGAGAATGAATCTCCGAACACTGAGAAGTCGTCCATGAACACTTCCATTATCTCCCCAACTAGCTTATCAAAGATGGCTACCATGCATCTCTGGAATGTCGTCGGGCCATTGCACAATCCAAACGGGATGCACCGGTAAGCAAAGGTTCCAAAGGGGCATGTGAATGTTGTCTTGGCTTGATCTTCTGGGGCAATTGGAATATGGAAGTATCCTGACATCCCATCTAGAAAGAAATAGTAACCATGTCCAGCGAGTCTCTCCAAGATTTGATCGATGAAAGGTAGAGGTAAGTGATCTTTACGAGTGGCTTCGTTCAATCTTCGACAGTCAATGCACATCCTCCACTCCGTCACCGTTCTTGTTGGTATAAGCTCTTCCTTTTCATTGGCTACCACTGTCATTCCTCCCTTCTTAGGGACCAACTGGGTTGGACTCACCCACTGGCTATCCGAGATAGGGTAGATAATCCCAGCATCCAGTAGCTTGATCACTTCTGCTTTAACTACTTCTTCCAGATTAGGATTCACTCGCCTCTGCGGTTGCCGAACCGGTTTAGCTCCCTCTTCCAGGTGTGTGAACAAAATTTTGGCCCAATTCCCCGGATATATGTGATCTTCCATGCGATCGCCCTCTCGTGACGCCTTAAAACCCCAATTAATTCTGCCTTCTGCTCTGGTGTAAGATTGGCGTTGTTGACAACTGGGAGCTTCCCATCATCCCTCAAAAAAGCGTATTCGAGGTGAGGAGGCAGTGGTTTCAATTCCAACTCGGGGGTTTCCTACAAAGAGGTAGGGATCTTGGGCATTGAGGGTAGGGCCTCCACTTCTTGATCTTGCATGGATTGGTTTCCAGTCTTCGGGGAGTCCGGGGCATCCATTCCTACCAAACAACACTCCTCAAAAGGTCAGAAGTAAGGGCACCGGCGGATGCGGGTGTCTCCATAAAGTCAAAAACCTCTTCGTAGTAATCAAAATCATCATGGCAACGAGACAACCGCATGCTATCATCAATAGACAATGTAACCTCCTCCTCTCCTGCCCTAAGCACCAACCTTCCCCCACGCACATTAATCAAAGCCTTGGTGGTGGCTAAGAAAGGTCTACCCAAGATGAGGGAGACCTCAACGTTCTCATCAATGTCTAAGATAACAAAGTCGACAGGATAAACGAGAGGTCCCACTTTAATGAGCAAATCCTCCACAACACCTTTAGGTCGTACTATAGACCTATCTGCCAATTGAATGTGCATCCTAGTTGCTCTAAGTTCTCCTAGGTCTAACTTTTGAAACAATTTATAGGGCATCACATTAATGCTAGCTCCTAAATACGCCACAGACTTTCCTATACACACGTCACCAATAAAGCAAGGGATAGTGAAACTCCCTAGATCTTTACGCTTCGTAGGCAAGTGGTTCTGCAAGAGGGCGGAGCATTCCTCATTCAAGCTCACCGTAGCTACCCCTTTCTAGCTTTTTCTTGTTGGTGAGGAGGTCTTTCAATTATTTTGCGTACTTGGGCATTTGGGTAATGGCCTCCAGGGAGGATGTTTAAATGCAACTGGTTCATCAACTCCATGAAGTGGGCAAACTCCGCTACCATGCGGTCATTGCGGAGTAACGAAGGAAAGGGGAGAGTTGGGGTTGCTTCTCCCTTTTCTCGCTCCGGTTGAGGGGTCGGATTGACATCCTCTTTTTGAGGGGTCGGTTGAGGAGTCGGAGAGTTGAGGTTGCCTTCCCCTTCACTTGTGGCTTCCGGTTGTACAGGGAAGCCGGCCACTTGTTGCTCCTTTGTTGCGAGTTGTTTCTTCTTTGGGGGTAGTTCTTTGGCCTCTCTTCCACTTCGAAGAGTAACCGCTCCTACATCAACCTCGTCGGCTGACCTCCAAGAATGAGCCGCTTGTGAGATAATCCCTATGCTTGTGGCCAGTCTAATCAGGTGGGTTTCCTGGCTCTCCAACCCCGCCTCGATGGCGGAGAACTTCTCTGTTTCCTCTCCAATGAATCTGTCGAATCTTTCAAACTTTTTCGAGCTGGAGGCGACAAAGGTCATCACCACCTTCTTAAGGCGGGTCATTCGGTGACACTCTACTTCCTCTGGTCCCAACTTGTACCCTACTCCATGGGTGTTGTAGACACCACATTTTGTCAGGGTAATTTATTAATACTAATTATTGGTTAAGAGTGGTTGAGAACTCGATTTGTTTGGAATTGACAATAGTCACTTTCTAAACATTTCTTTATAGGATTAAAGTTTGGGACAAGTATGCTTGTAGCGGCCTATAAGATTAAGCAATAGCAAATCTTAAGAGGCTAATACGATTTAAGTTTACTTTTGGACTCACGGGCTTGTTTACTTTTGGCTAATACAATAACCACTAACCGAAGTTTGGATCAGTAATTCACATAATCAGAAAAGTTTAGCAATAGCTACCCTTAATCACTGTGTTGGGCTAATTGCAGTGTTATTAAAGCCAAGCCGAGCCGAGCCGCTCGGCCCGACCGGTAAAACCACCACCCGGTCACAAAACCGGCTCGGAACAGTCTAAAAGTCGCTCCGGTTTTATGTAGCGGTTGACGAGCGGCCGAGGCGGTTAACCGATCGAGCCGCTCATCCGGTATTTGCCATTCAGCCATTAAATTAAATTAAAAAAATTGCAGAAAATTGAAATAAACCTAAAACGTCGGGCTCTCAAACTGAATCCTTATTTCCATTTCACAATTTCGAAGGAAAGAGACGAGTTCTGATTAAGAAATATCCACTAATGCATACCGATAACGTTTATTAGGTACCGATTCTCTAACAATTTTTAAACGATCTAATGTCGGTTGGATCATTAAAGTGCAATCTATTCGCATTACCGAGTCATGCTCCGGTTCGGTTCTGCCAACATTGGTTAATTGGATGTGGGACTTTGTAAGGTTGGATCTCGACTTGTGAAACAATAGGCAATACAATAAAAATAAAACTTTCATTAATACTCAATAAATGATAATTAATTAATTACATTATATTATATTTACAAATTCAAAATAAAAATTACATAGTTGTTAGCCCAAGTCCAAAACCCAAGTCAAAATACAAAAGTCAAAGTGAACTTGGTCAAGCCAGTCTACCCAATCAGGCCTGACCAAGCCTGGATTTGTCTAACCCAAAACCAATACTGTAGCAAGCTTGTTCCCCAAGCTGTCTTTTCTATAAAAAAACGTCTCTTCTTCTCTCCCAAACTAACGGCCAAAGACCATTTTCTTCCTCTTGATCCTTTTTCTTCCTGCACAGATAACGAACCTCTGCCAAACCGAGGCTTCCTTTTCCTCAGAACACCCTTGTCTTCTTCCTTGCACTTCTCTACCTCCTAAACACACAGCCACAAACACAGACATAAACCCATCCACTTCCTCTCTCACCCACAAACAAAATACAATAAAACTTTCAGACTTCCATTTCCTTTCCTCTTAAACACCATACCAACAATCCCAACAACAAACAAAAAGTGCTTTCTTCTCTCATTCTTCACATTTTGCCAACCACAAAGGACAGAAAAGAGACCACTAAGTCTCATTTCTATTCCTTTCCTCTTCTCTTCCTTGGCCACACACAAAAAGCACAACAACAAAAACACCAAAAAAGGGGAACGGAGCAGGATTGAAGCAGCCAGCTAATTCCCCAGAAGGCTTAGGGAGAAGGCAACAAGTATACCATTAACCAAACGACACCGAAAAGGTTGGTGATCTAAATTAATTCCATCCCCAATTAATCCTCATTCATTATATTTTTCTACCTTTCTTAAAAACTTATAGAAAAAGGCACCATCACCCTTTTCTTTGACCTCATCCAAACCTGGACCAAACCCCCTAAACACCTTATTACCCCACAAAATACCATACATACAAAATTTCCATAATCAAACACTCAAAATACCAACACCCAGGTCATTCAAATTAACCCAAATGGCATTAACCAATCATAAACCCCAAAATCCCAAACACCACAGAAACCTTACCGAAATAGCCTTTTACCTTGCACACGTCGCCATCGCCACCGGCAAAACCCAGGACTGCCGGCAATGGTTATATTCTTTTCTTTTCACCCATCACAAACTCAAAGAACCAAATTTGACACTAAAGCAAATTAAGACAAAGTAACCACAAACAATAGCACTGTCGACGGTCTTTTCAAAGTTAACTTTCCACTTTGTTTGCTTTAACAAATTCTGGAACTTGAACCGAAATCCTGAGTTTTCTTGTGGTTCCAAGTCCCGCTCCCCAGCTCTAATATACAATTTTCACAGAATCAGAATTCAGAACCATCACACCAAATCCCCCAAATTTAGACCCGCAGCATTCAAACGAGAAATCAAAACACAAAACCCAGACCAAAACCCTAAACAACTAAAAACCCCACGAAAATCACACATGCCCTTACCTAGTAGAACCCTCCTGCTCTTTCACCATCGTTGTAGTCTCGGCGAGAAACGATTCACCTCCATCGCCGGAGGTTCCAAACATCCTTCCCCATTTCCCTTCCTTTCAGATACCTCATCCCCAGTAGAAAACAAACGCAATCAGAACCAGCACCAGCAACCGCAATCAAAATATACCAAATATTTCACCCACACACAAATTTCCACTTTCAATCACTATAAAACACAAAATTTCGGAACCTAACACGCCAATACCACAACCATTTCCATATTCAATCATCCCAAAACAGTAATAAAAAGCCTTACCTAGAAGAACCCCATTCTTCGTCTTCTTGGTCTCCCTCGTCACCGGTGAATCAGGGAGCGGCGACTCTTCCCCCTCCCTGCCGTCACCGGGAGTACTCGCCGGCCAGAACTCTTCCTCGCTTTCTTTGCTCCTCTATCAATCGCCGTTGGCGATCCCTTGCCTCCTGAAACTCTATCAGCAGCTTGCCTTTTTCATTCTTTTCCTCTCACAGAGATTGAAAAAATCCAGAATCAACACGCGAAAAAGATAGTCTGAATCCGAAATAAACCAATTGAACCCCCAAACCTTACCTTACATGAAATTACCTGGGTCGCCGTGAACGTCGTCGTCGACGTCAATCGCCGTCGCCATCTGGCCCTTCTCCCTCGTCATTTACCAGAAGAGGGAAGAGGAGAAGAAAGATCGGGGCGGCCGCCGACCCTGTGCCATCGTCGTTCCCTGTTTCTCGAGCGGAGCAGAGAAGGGAGACGATCGAAACAAAAGAGCAGCGGCGGTTTGACTTTGCCGCCGTCGATCTCCGTCGTTTGGTGGAACAAAATCGAGAAAGAGAGGAGAGCGAGGAGCAGAGGAAAACGAGAGAGAGAGAGGCGGCCGCTTGGTCGTTTAGGGTTAGAGCAGAATAGGGTTGGTTTTCTTAAGAGACGTTTATATACCTTGAAAATGACTAAAATGCCCCCTAGTCTCGGTTAATGAAAAAAACAAAATGAGATGTGCAGTTCAGAGATTCGAACCGAGAACCTTCCAACTACAAACATATACAGAGCAAACCAACTAACCGGTCATGCTACCACAAATTCATTTGATTAAGCTTAATATGCTAATCCATATTGATTAATCGTGTTAAGATCTTTTTTTTTACCGAGATAAGATTATCCCTTAATATTTTAAAATATTAACAATCTTGATTAATGTCCCCGTTTGGGCTTCTATTGTTCATACATATACTTACTTGGCTTGTAAATTTCTTTAATACGAAATCATGGTCGATAGACCGTGATAGTCATTCTCGATGGAATTCTTCCAAAGATAATCTGACATTCAATCACTAAATTGAAAAAAAACATCAATACATTTCCTAACAACTCAAAGTATCTTAATCACTATCAATAGAACATGTTTAAGATAAGTTCTTTCAAATCGCTCTTTTTAAACGAACTACGTGGACTTTGATCCCGACTTCGGGTACATAGGCAACCAATAGGTTCAAGTCCAACCAATCTAAAAAACATTTTTACGTCAATAGACGTAAATATTATCAAGTAACTACAATAATTCAAAATTTATGCTAATCATATCGTCCAATTCGACGATAAAAAATATGCCCAAAATAATTAAAAATAATTTAATGTTACGATTAAATTCATAAATAAGGCCCAAATAATAATACACCCAACCCTTAAAAACTTATCGATTTAAGTAGTACCAATATTGGGCGTTGTGGGGTGTGAATACACTTCCCCACACGTAACCGTACTCCCGAACCCATAATCTTAAGTTTCGCATACTAGATCCCGGTTCTGACCATAAAGTTGGAGCTGGACCAAAAGGTGTTCGTTCGATCCACCACAACTAAGATCGATGGCGACTCCGATCAATTCGCGACGGGTCCCCCGATTCGGAGTGGCAGTTGCGATTGTGGCGACTCCGCTGAGGACAAATTTTAAGAGTCGAGCTACATTAACTATGTTGATAAGTTTTTTTTACATCTGTTTGTGTGTTGGGTGTTTATTACATAATTGTGCTCTATACCCGAGCTCTCCCTTTAGAAATTGCAAGGTGTAACGTGACTCCTACAATAGTAGGGGATTACCGTGAAACTTGCTAATCAAGTTGAACTCAAATCCGAGGTTGATTTGAGGTATCCGGCTAAGTTTGAAAGAGCAATAGTAGGATACAACTTGGGTATTTCCCTACAACACTTTACCAAGCATTTAGTAAGCTTAGCATCCACCTAACACCATCTCGTATAAACCCTGTCGTCAAATCTTCCATCAATCGTATGTTTATTTAATTAGAGAATTGTTTTTTATTTAGTTTTTTTTTTTTTTGCTTGTGATGTGATAATTTGTGAATTATCGATTACTCATAAGTAATGTGATTTTATTATGCACATAAAAGCTTTTCAAAATTCATGACATTAGCATTTCTCCTATTCAACAAAAATCATAAAAGATAAAGTGCATGCATCCATTAAAGTCATCTTTGCATTTACGCATTCACATCAGTTGGCATAATAAGCATCATAGATACAAAATAGTTTAACAACAATAAATTTGCGAGGGTTCTTTAAAATTGCTTACTCACAAAGAAGAAATCAACCCTTAAGTACCAGATCCAAGGTTGTGCTCTTTATGGGAGTCGTTCCATAAGAAATTGGCCCAACGAAAGAAAACGCACAATTCTTCAAGAAATGGAGGTCAATGGGCATTTTATTGACGATTTTATCAACCAAGTTGTCCAAGCATCAACTACTACCCGCTACCCAATCATCGAAACCAGAATGCAAGCCACATACCAAAGCTTGATTCACTATTGATGCCAGTTTGCCATGTCGAGAGTTGTATCATATTTTTCTTCATCATGAGAATAAAAGGATTGTTCACATTTCTATTTGTATGGAACATTTTGTGACTACTTTCATCTCGATTTAGAAGTTTGCATCAAATATTTTCCTTTTTCCAAATGATTAAACATCCTTTAAAATCAACTTGTTTTCCCTAGAAAACCAAAAATCTGCTACATATTTTCGAGATAAGCCATGAGAATGCCATGCTAAGCAAACTACCTTTGTTCCCGGCCTGTTGGCCGGGTAAATTTTCCTTGTTATATTTCATAACTATACTTATATAATTTCAAAACTTCTAATTTCAAAACTTCTGGTCTTTAAGATACGTTTTTACAATTTCAAATTAACAGTAAACTTTCAATCGTGATTTAAAAGATACATATTTCTAAGACAACCAATCACCAATTAACGAATATTGGCCTATGATGAATTCTATTATATGCACATGTTAAAACTTCTACTAACATTATTCGCATGTACATATAATTAATTCTCCCTAATTTTTACACATGTCTTCAAAGGAGTTCTCAAAATTTTGTTGTGCAAATTTATGTTTAAACTGGCCAATTAAAACACGAAAAACTAACATCTTAAGCATGATACATTAATCAATGTTAAATGTCAAACACTATGTTTGAATCACATATACTAAGTAAGATGTGTGTTCCTTATAAAAACTAATGCATGTCATTGAATATTATTCATTATTGGTGTGATAACCAAAACAACACTTCATATCAGGATCACTGTAAAAACTAAACCCTAGTGGTTATATTAAGAGAATAAAGTGTACCTGTAAAAGACAAATTTCGGCTTATATAAAAACCAATCATTCCCCTCTGTAGCACCATGTCGCCGCTGCTGTGACCTCCATGTCCCTCGTCAAACTCTTTTTATGTCTGCATATCGGAATTCCTTACCCTCTGCCTCTCCGACCCACTGTCGGAAGTCGCCGGGAGCCCTCCACTTCGTTTCCACGGTCTGCCTGGATATGAGTCGTCATATCCTTGTATCGTTCCTTGCATCCGCACGCCACTGTTGTGGCCGCCAATCGATGGCAAACAATTTCAAACACCTCGACTGAGGTAACTTTTTCCGTCCAATTGAAGGTTGGAGGAGGTGATGTTTTTGGGATTTCCGGGGAAAAAAGAAGATAGAACGATGTGCAAAGGGAAGTCTCTGGCAGTTAAGGAGAAGGAAGGAAGGAGTGAAGGCAGTTTTCCTTGAGGGACAGAAATTTTGGCCGCTCGCGGTGGAAACTGGAAACAAATAAATAAAGGGAAAAGGATCGAAAAGGAGAAAGATAGATAGTGACGTGGACAACCTCTCCTTTCACTTGGGATTACGTGGCTTGGGGTCTAAAATCAAAATGCTTTAATAATTTTTAAGATTTAAGATAAGATATGAACACCCTACTGGTTTTGAGAGTTTAAACACTCCACTGATGTCTATTGACAATAAACACCCTACTGGTGTCTAGAGGTTGATCACGCACGCGAACTCCTCTACCAAATGATCACGCGAACGAGCTCGCTGCGACATCACTCCTCTTATTCCCCCCGCTGCAAGGTCATCAACGGTTGCCATTATATGTATCAATAATTTCAATATTCGGCCCAACGAGCGATAGCTCTTCTTTTCCTTTCTTGAGATCAATCATTTATATATAGAGAGAGAAGTTGCAGAGCTGCAGATATCTCTTTCTTTGTGATTGTGCTAATTGGAGGCGTGTCGGGGAACAAATTAAATGAGAGAAAAAAAGGCACGCGATACCTTGATTTTGCTTGAGTCCAAAGGCACCTCGATCTGTTAGGATAGAGAATATTTTTTTCAATAACATTTACTTCATTTCCTTCCAAACGATCAGGTGGAAAATAACTAACAATAACATTGTAATCCGATCGTGTGAGAGATAACTGAGTTGTACATTGTGAACAACCCAATCCATAATCCTGCTGTATTTTCCCAAGCAGATTTCGGAATTAGAAAGTTTTCGGCGTTAGAAAGTTTCTGATTCTTTTCCTTTGGAATTACGTCAAGCACAGGGAATTGCGGTCAAGATGCAGTGCGGTCTAAACCGTACCAAATCGTTAATCTATGCGGTTTGGTTTGACCGTACCGATAACTTTGCGGTCAAAGATGTGGTGCGGTTATATGAATGTGGTAACAGTGCAGTTGATATGAATGTTGTGCGGTGCGGTCCGAACCGCACCAATGCCCACCCCTAGTTGCTAACACCTCTTTTGATGAATGAAGATCTCAACGATTCATAATAAAAAATTACCGTGTTTAGTTTACTTCGAGTCTTCCACTCTGAATCTATAGGTATAAGTTACACCATAACACAACACAAGTAACATCTCCCTTACACATATAACACGTACAATCATATACATACATCGCTGAGTAAAGTAAGCTAAGAAACCATGCAAGGTAGGGTAGGTATAGTCAAACTTCCATGTATATATATATCTATGCAGCCGGTGGTGAAATGCCAAACTTTGGAGCCATCAACACTCCAAATGCAAACGCAATCACGGCCACCGTCACAATCCCTTTGTGTTCGCCGATCATCTCAATCACTCTCCTCATTACTGAATTCGAACTTCCCTCGCAGTCTCTCTCCCACCATTTCTCCACGTCTCCTTTACCGAACTCGGCCACAGCAGTATTCGTGCAGCTACATCCTGCCGCCGCGATCCTCTCACCATCAGGATTGCTACCGGCCGGTAATGGAGATCCTGGTGCAGCCGCTGCCGGTACGTGCTTGGGGACAGTGACGTAGAGGATCTCGCCGTCGAACTTG